GGCCGGGACCCGCCCCCCCCCCCCCGGGCCGCCGCCTCCGCGGCCGGACTCGGCTCTAGATGATGGCTCTTAGTCGGCGTCGGCGGGGGGGGTGGCGGGTGGCGGGTGCGTTTGGGGTCCTGGCGCCGGGGCGGGGGCGGCGCGCGCGCCGCCCCCCGGGTCTTGTCCGACTAGGGCGAGAGGCCGCGGTTGCGGAGCTCGTCGAGCGCGGACTGGCAGCCCGCGTTGGCCGCGGCCATGAAGTACTCGAGGGCGCGGGCGTCGTCCTTGGGCACGCCGCGGCCCTCCTTGTAGAGCGTCCCGAGCCACGACATCGCGTCCGGGTCGCCGGACTCGGCGGCCGCCGTGTACCATCGCGCGGCCTCGGCGTCGTCGGGCGCGACGCCGCAGCGGCCGTCCTGGTAGCAGAGGCCGAGCCAGTTCTGGACGTCCGGGTCGCCCTGCTCCGCCGCGCGGACGAACCAGTCGACGGCCGCGCGCTCGTCCTTGGGGACGCCCTTGCCCTTCATGAGCATGAGGCCGAAGTTCGACTGGGCCTGGACGACGCCGGCCTCGGCGGCCTTGCGGTACCAGTCCGCCGCCGTCGCCTCCTGCTCGTCGACGACGCAGTGGCCCTCCTCGATCATGCCCGCGAGCAAATTCATCGCGACGGGGTCGCCGGCCATCGCCGCCTTCCGGAAGTGCGCGATGGCCGCGCCTGGGCAAAAGGGTGATTCAACGTCGCTTCAATGTGAGTGTTCCGCGCGCGCGCGTTCCGGAAAAAGCATCTACGCTTCGAGACCGTTCCGAGAGATGATCGCTCGTCCAAAAATCAGCCGAAACGAGTGGAAAACGGCCGAGATATGAGCCTTTGAAGTTGGGCATGTCGCTCTCTTTTGCTGCCCTGGGCCGCGCCCTGGTTCATCTCCTGGCCGATGCCCGCGTTGAGGAGGAGGCCCAGCGCCAATTTCGCCGACGCGTCGCCGGCGTCGGCGAGGTGCTGGAGGCCCAGCGAGTCGACGGACCGCATCGCCCACATCGTCGCCTCGAGCTCCGTGGACCGGCCCGCGTTGCGGCAGCCCTTGCCCTCCATGAGGCAGCTCGCGAGGTGGGCCGCGGCCATGGGGTGCTTGAGCTCCGCGCCGCGCTTCAGGTAGGCGACGGCCTCGTGGTAGTTGACGCCCTCGCCGTAGCCGTAGAGCCAGCGGCAGCCCTCGGCGAACGCGCGGCCCCCGTCGGACTCGCGCGCGGCGGCGCCGGAGACGCGCACGCCGGAGGTCTGGTCCTCGAGGAGGGGCGCGGACAGGGCGCTGCTGCTGAAGACGGAGCCGCCGAGCTTCGCGCGCTCCTCCTTGACGCACTGCTTGAACTTGAACTCGCTGCCCTCCTTCATGCCCACCTTGCGCACGAGGCCGTCGAGCGCGTCCTCGTTGAGGGACACGAGGCCGTCCCAGTCCCACTCGTCCTCCTCGAACTTCTTGGCGTAGGTCTCGGCGTTGATGATGCCCAGGGCCGTCAGCCGCGACTCGAGGGTGCTGTTCATGGCTCCGCGCGCGGGCCGCGGCGGCGGCGACCGCGGCGGGGACCTTCGCGGTCGCGGCGCCTCGCAGCACCGGCTGACCGCGGCGCGACCGGGGCGCGACGGAGCGCGGCCGGCGACGTCGGGGAGAGCAGCCCCAACAGAGAGCGCCTCTGATAGCGCTGCGGGGAAGCCCTGCGAGGATACTTAATGTTTGCCGTGCTTTTATCTCAGTGACGAGTCTCGCTGAATGGACTTCAAACGCGACCACCTCAGAAACATCACCCCGGAAAACGAGTGGCTCCGTTCTTGGGCCGGACGTCGCGCGCGCGGCCGCGGCGTCGGTTCGCCGCGCGCGCCGCCACGACCCCGAGGTTGAGCGACCTCCTCCCCCCGCGCGCTCGCCCGTCGTCATCTAGGATGGGATGGATCGTTTTTTACGAGGTCCCCGCGGGCGGCTACGCGGCGATGATCGCCGCGTGCTCCGCGAGGGCCGCCTCGAAGGCGAGGTCCGAGGACGGCAGGGCCGCCGCGCGGTCCGCGCGGTTCTTCTGCTTGCGCTCGTTGCGGCGGCGCCGCGCGTCGTGGCGCGCGCGGGCGACGGCCTTCTCCGCGAGGAGGCGGTCGGCCGCGGCCGCGGCCTCGTCGCCGGCCCGCGCGTCGACGGACGCGTCGTCGTCGTCCTCGGACTCGGAGACGACGGCGGCGTCGCCCTCGAGGAGCTCGAGGAGCGCCGTCTGGCACGCGGCGATGTCGACGTCGTCGTCCTCGACGACCGCGACGCGAGGAGGCGCGGCGCGGCACGCGGCGAGCGCCGCGATGGGGCGGATGGACTTCTCGTCGAAGGGCGTCGCCCAGGCGTCGCCGTCGAAGCTCGGCCGCGCGCTCGGGGAGAACCAGCGCGACGCGGCCGAGGTGGCGCCGCCAGAACACGAGCTGGCGCCCGAGGTGCTCGCGGACGACGACGCGTAGGACGTGGCCGTCATGCGCGAGCAGACGGACTCGTCGTCGCTGTCGTCGCCGTCGGCGGAGGCCGCGTAGGGCCAGCGGAGCTCGGCGACGCCGCCGGGCGACGGGAACAGGACGTCTTGCGTTCGAACCGATCGCGGGCGGCCCGCGCCGCAGTTGACGGCGGTGGGGAGGAGGACGTAGGACGGGGACGAGCGCGGGGTGTGGAGGTCGTGGTGGTCGCTGAGGTCGCAGACGTCCTGCTGCCAGGCGTGGACAGCCGTTTCCGTCGCCTTGCCGCGCCGGCGGATGCGGCCGCGGCCGCCGCGGCGCGTGCGCTTCCAGGTGCGCTTGGGCATGTCGCTGACGGTGTCGGTCATGGTGATGGGATGCGGTGGCGAGGGGTTGGAGGTGCTTGTGATTGTGGAGGAGCTGTTTGCTCTTTGACACCACCGGTTTGGCAGGACAGTGCTCTTACTCAGGCGGCGCCAACTAAGTTTGCGCACCACCTGGCGAGTTCAAGAGGGTCCAAGGCCGAAGTTGAACTCACAAATTCTTTGAAGCTCAAGTCGCCGCGCCGCCCCCCTTGTTGGCCCTCGACGCACTTCTTCTCGACCTCCGCGGCCTTCTCCACCCCAGCCGTCGCCGGACCCCCTCGAGTTAACGTAGCCAACTCGCAATTGCCGCATTAAAACACCCCCTAGAGGTCGTACTCGTCGCCCTCCTCCTCCTCCGCCGCGGCCTCCTCCGCCGCGGCGTCCGCGGGCCACTGCGGGAGCCCGTCCTTGAACTTGGCGAAGGTCGCGCCGCCGCCGACGACGCTGTCCAGGAGCCCCGCGAAGGCGTCCACGCCGAACGCGCGCGCCGCGCGGGGCCGCTTGCCGCCCTTGACGACGACGAGCGCGGGCGGCGCGCCCGCGTCGTCGCCGAGGAGCGCGGCCGCGACGGGCGCGTCCGCGGCCATGCTCGCGAACTGGAAGCCCTCGCGGGCGAACTTGGCGGCGAGGGGCGCGAGGTCCTCGGCCGCCGCGCCGACGCCGACGACGCAGGTCTTCGTCGACGGCGCGCCGTAGCACTCCGCGTCGAGGTCCGCCTCGGACGCGATGGACGCGACGGCCGACGCCTTGGCCTTCTTCTTCGCGGCGCGCTCCTCGGCGGCGAGCACGGACGCGGGCTTGGGGAAGTCGGGCAGCTCCGCGGCGGCCCCGTAGGCGTCCTTGAAGGTCGCGACGGCCGCGGCGGCCGCCGCGGCCTCGCGCGCGAACGCCTCGACGGCCGCGACGTCGTCGACCTTCTTGCGCTTCGCGACGATGGGGTTGCCCGCGTAGGGCGCCACGAGGGACTTGCCCAGGTTCTTGCGGTCCACGGCGGCGACGAAGAGGTTGTAGGCGCCGGCACCGAGGCCCGAGCTGTTGAAGGCCTCGCGCGTGTCGCCGTCGAAGCCGTAGGCCGCGGAGAAGAGGGGCTTGCCCTTGGACTTGGCCGCCTGCTCCGCGTTGGCGATGGTCTCCAACAGGTCGTCGATGCCCTCCTTGACGTCGCGATGCTTCGACGCGGCCTTGGCCTCCTTGAGCAGGCGGACCGTCTCCTTCTCGGGCGACTCCGCGGCCCCGGCGTCCTTCGCCTTCAGCCCCGCGTGGAGCTTGCCGTACCACGACGGCGCCTCGGACTCGCTCCCCACGAGGAAGAGCACGGGCTTGTCGTCGAGGGCCGCGCGGCCGTAGAACGTGTAGAGGTCCTTCCAGCCCTTGGGCTCGACGGGCTCCGCGAGCGCGCCGCCGTACTTCTTGAACTGCTCCTTCGTCCAGCGCTCGATGTCGTCGGCCTCGCGCGGGCCGTTGTAGTCGATGGCCGTCTTCGCGCTGTTCTTGCCCGAGCGCACGTACTTGAGCGAGGGGAAGCCGCGGATGTCGGGGAACATGGCCTGGATGCCCGAGTTCGGCTCGACGTCGACCGCGCCGATGCCCACGCCGCTGCCCTTGAGCTTCTTCGCGGCGACCTTCATCTTCGGCGCGAGCTGCTTGCAGTGGCCGCACCAGGGCGCGTAGAACATGACGAAGTGGGGCTCCTCGCCGAGCTTCGCCGCCCAGTTGGCCTCGCTGAACTCCGTGACGTCGCAATTGCCCTTGCCGCGGCAGCTGAACATGTCGTTGTGGCCCGCCCGGGCCACGGCCGCGGCCAGCGCGACGAGGGCGACGCGGAACATGGACGCGGCGCGGTGTGAATCGACGAGGCCACGCGTCCACCTCTCGTTTTGGCCGATTAGCGATGTTGACGATGTGTTGACGGGCAGCGTCGGCCGAGGGCCTCAGCCCGGGAGCGCTGGGCTGCCGCTTCGGCCGCCTTCCAGCGCGCCGACGAGCGAACCCGCGCGCCGCGGCGCGCCGTGAAACGCAGCTTGGAGCGCCGGGCCGCCGCTTCGGCCGCCTTCCAGCCTGCCGCTTCGGCCGCCTTCCAGCCTGCCGCTTCGGCCGCCCTCCAGCCTGCCGCTTCGGCCGCCGAGCCAGCGCGCCGAGCCAGCGCGCCGCGGCGCGCCGTGAGACGCCGCGGCAGCCATGGCGGACGACGGCAAGGCGCCGCCGGACGACTCGAACAAGGCCAAGGCCGCGGCCTTCGCCGAGCGCATGGGCCAGTCCGCGTCCGGCGCCGACGACGGCGCCAAGGCGGACGCCAAGGACGAGAACGAGGGCCTCACGAAGGCCCAGATCGCCGCCAAGGAGCGGCGCGCGGCGCGCGAGACCGCGCGGCAGACGCGCGCGTCGAAGCGGCCCGTGAAGGAGGAGGACAAGGAGCCGGAGCCCGTCACGGTCGGCCCCTGGAGCGAGAACGACTGCGGCGGCGCGATCCCGCACTTCGGCCTGGCCGACGCGGAGCGCCTCTACGTCTTCGAGGACGACACGGCGCGCGCCGCGGGCGAGGCGGCGGACGACGCGCGGCGGTACCTCGACGCGCTGCCGGAGCCGGAGCCGGCGCCGTGCGCGTCCTACGTGGGCTTCTTCGGCGACGACGGCACGGACGCCTTCGTCGAGGCCGCGGCGCTCGACGACCTCAGCCGGATGCACAAGTGCATCCGGCCCCAGGCCCGGTGGGGGAAGCGGACGCCGCCCTGGGACGCGGCGACGGGGACGTTCGTCTACGAGCGCCCCGAGCTCCACACGACGAACCACGAGACCGTGCCCGAGCTCATCGAGAACGGCGACGTCGAGCTGCTCGACGCGCTCCTCGACTGCGGCCACCTGCCCGAGGGCCTGGACCGGCCCGACCCGGAGTTCGGGCTCACGGCGGCGTACCTCGCCGTGACCTACGACCGGCCCGCGGTGCTCGACGCGCTCGCGCGGCGGGGCTGCGACCTCGCGAAGATGTGCGACGGCGAGGGCGACGACGCCTACGCGACGCCGGCCTTCTACGCGGCGTACCACGGCAAGGTCCGGTGCCTCGAGGCGCTCGTGCGCCTCGGCGTCGACGCGACGGCGCCGTGCACGAAGCACGGCGAGGCGCCCGCGGCGTTCTACGCCAGGCACGGCGCCGTCGTCGCCGGCCAGCTCGCCTTCGCCGCGACCTTCCGGCACCGCATGGCGACGCGCCTCGCGCGGTACCTGCTCATGGCGCCCCGGCGCCGGTCGTACCGCGCCACGGCGCGCTCCTGCGGGCTCGTCCAGCGCGTCTTCCGCGGCTTCGCCGGGCGGCGCAACGCGTACCAGCTCGCCACGGCGCTCCTCGAGGACCAGCGGGCCGCGGAGGCCGCGGCGCAGGCCGCGCTCGCGCGCCTCGCGGAGCTCGAGGCGGCCAAGGAGCCCGAGGAGGTGCTCACCATGGCCGAGGCCGTCGCCCGCGAGGAGGAGGCGGAGATGCGCGCCGCGCTCGCCGCGGCGAACGACGGCCGCGCGGAGTGGGAGGAGTTCTTCGACGAGGCGAGCGGCCTGCCCTACTACGTCCACTACCAGACGGGCGAGTCCGTCTGGGAGAAGCCGGACACGGCGTAAGGGCCGACGTCGCGCGCGCGCGAGGGGCGTCCGAGTTTCCGGGTCCGGCCCGAGGGGAGGGCGTGGGTCGCTCGCCGGGGGCATCCGCGCCCCCGTCGCGCGGGTCCGCGAGCTCGAGGCGAGGGGCGCGCGGTCGCGCCGAGCGCCGGCCGGCCGCGCGCGCCCCGGGCCGGGCGGGCGGCGGCGCTCCCTATGGATTACGGGTCCCCCCCTAGGAGATGACGCAGCAGGAGTTCGTCTTCCGGGCCTGCTTGTAGAACATCTTCGACTGCTTCGACAGGTCGTCGCTCCGCTCGACGAGGTTGTCGAGCTTCTCGCCGCGCTCGAGGAGGTTGTCGATGGTCTGGTGGAGGACGGCCGTCGTGTCGTCGAGGTCGTTCTGGATCTTGATGATCTTGTCGAAGGCCGCCGGGTCCTGGGCGCGCTTCAGCGCGTCCGCGAGCGCGGGGAACTCGCACGCCTCGGCGCGCGCCTCGGCCTGCCACCCGGGGCACGCGGCGCCGAACTGCTCCATGAGCTGGCCGAGCATGTTGAAGGCCGCGCGCGCCGGGTACTCCTTGTCGCAGGTCGTCGTCGCGGCCAGGCCCTCGGAGTTGACGAAGCAGTGGACCTGGTACTCCTTCATCTGCTCCTGCTCGATCGTGATGCGCTGGCCCGCCTTGACGCGGCTCACGACGGTCTTGGAGAAAAACTGGAGCATCTGCTTGACCGTCGACTTCTCGAAGAAGCCGAAGGAGCTCAGGTCCGCCTCCTGGCAGAGGACCACGGGCTCGGGCGTGTCCCGCGTGAAGCGCATGATGGCGACGTGGAGCACCTTCATGGCGCCGGAACGGACGCGGCGGCGGGGTCGCGCGGCGGGCGGCGGCGCGGCGCGAGGGCGCGGCGCGCGCGGGCCTCTCGCCGGCGCGGGCGTCGGTTCGCGGACCGGGTCGGGAGCCGCCGAAGGCAGCACGCGAGACGACGCGTCGATTTTTGCGGGCTCGACGACCGCTCGGAGCCTGCTTCCAAGGCCCCGCCCGGGGTTCGATGAGCGACGTGCCTGTCCTCCTGTCGGCCAACGCCCACGGCGGCCTGCGCACGACCCAGCTCCGCCTCAAGGTGCTCGCGAACCAGCACAAGATCGCCACGGGCACGGAGCTGTCGGACGCAGAGCTTCGCGACTACGCGCTCGACGCTCTCGACCCGGCCAAGGGCCGCGCCCCCGCCGCCTAATTTTATCCACTCGTTTGTCCAACTAATGTCGTCCTGGATGAACTTCTCGCCATAGTTTCCTATGCATGACAGACACGCAATTGAGTCGTGGTGTTTCCTTTACTGTTTGCACACGTCACAAGCGACCGTGTACTCGTCAGGTACCAACTCCTTGCACTTTTCGCACTGGCATGTGACTTGCATTCATTAAGTCACGGTTACTTTCGGTGTCCGAATTACAGTAGCGGAAGCACAGCAAATTTGGACCGCGCCATTATAGTTACGCAGCTGAAACAGCTTGGGATGGATAACCGTGACTGTCCGGAAATTTTCCGCCCAATTTTTCTTCATGCACAGGGCAACCGGCCGCCGCGCCGCGCGGCCGCGCCACACGCCACCGGCGTCCTCTTCCCCGGCGTGGCTCTGCAGTTCCCGCTTCGCCCACCGGCCCGGGCGGGGGAGTCGAGAAGCCGAAGTACCTCCCGCCGGAGTTTCCGCAACGCGGTCATTTCCCTTCAACTTGCACCCCGCAGTGGAAATTAGGCGATCACATGATGATGTTCCGCGCTGCTGCTACCGGCGCCCGCCGCGCGTCGACGCTCGCGGCGTCCACGGCCACGGGCGCGCACTGGCCGTGCTGGATCGACAACGCCGACGCCGAGGCCGTCGGCGGCGCGACGCTGCCCCTCGAGAACCCGGCGACGGGCCGCGTCGTCGGGAGCTGCGCCGCCGGCGACGCCGCGACGATCGACGCCGCCGTGGCGTCGAGCGCGGCGGCCTTCCCCGGCTGGCGGGACCTCGGCGCCATCGGCCGGGGCCGCGTGCTGCGGCGGGCGGCGGACCTGCTCCGCCGCGACCTGCCGGATATCGTCGACCTCGAGACGCTGCACACGGGCCGGCCCGCGCGCGAGTACGTCGCGCAGCTCGGGCGCGTGCCCGAGTGGCTCGAGTACCACGCGTCCCTGGCGGAGACGAGCGAGGGAAGCGTGCCGCCCTTCGGGGGCGACGGGGACCACCTCTGCTACGTCGAGCGCGCGCCGCTCGGCGTCTGCGGGCTCGTGACGCCGTTCAACCACCCGCTCCTCATCGCGGCGAAGAAGCTCGCGCCCTGCCTCGCGACGGGCAACGTCGCCGTCGTCAAGGCGCCCGAGGCCGCGCCGGGCGCCGTCGTGGTCCTCGCGCGGCTCCTCGCCGACGCGGGCGCGCCGCCCGGCGTCGCGAACGTCGTGCCGGGCCTCGGGCCCGACGCGGCGCTCCCGCTGGCGCGCCACGAGAGCGTCGCCCGCGTCGACTTCACGGGCGGGCCCGCCGGCGGCGCGGCCGTCGGCGGCGCCGCGGGCGCGCGGGGGATCTCGTACACCGCGGAGCTCGGCGGCCACGCGCCCGTGCTCGTCTTCGACGACGCGGACGTCGACGAGGCCGTCGACGGCGCGGCCTTCGCGGCCTTCGTGGCGTCGGGCCAGACCTGCGTGTCGGCGAAGCGCGTGCTCGTGCAGCGGAGCGTCGCCGACGAGTTCGCGGAGAAGTTCGCGCGGAAGGCGGCGTCGCTCGCGGTCGGCGACCCCTTCGACGCGTCGACGGCCATCGGGCCCCTCGTGTCCCGGAAAAGCCTCGACGGCGCCGTCGCCCACGTCGCCGCGGCCGAGGCCGCGGGCGCGCGCGTCGTCGCGGGCGGCTACCAGGGCAGCACAAGAGAGCGAAATTCCCAACTTCAAAGGCTCATATCTCGGCCGTTTTTCACTCGTTTCGGCTGATTTTTGGACGAGCGATCATCTCTCGGAACGGTCTCGAAGCGTGGATGCTTTTTCCGGAACGCGCGCGCGCGGAACACTCACGTTGAAGCGACGTTGAATCTCTCTTGTCCTGCCCAGGCGGCTACGCGCCCGCGCTCCCCGGCGCGCTCGCGGGCGGCCACTTCTACGCGCCGACGATTTTGGCCGACGCGACGCCGGCCATGGCCTGCTTCCAGGAAGAGTGCTTCGCGCCCGTCGTCGCGCTGGCGGCCTTCGACGACGAGGCCGACGCGGTGCGCCTCGCGAACGCGAACGCGCACGGCCTCGGCGCGGGCGTCTGGACGCGCGACGTGCGCCGCGCGCACCGCGTCGCCCGGGGCCTGCGGAGCGGCGTCGTCTGGGTCAACGCGCACCACCGCAACGCGCCCGACGCGCCCTGGGGCGGCTTCGGCAAGTCCGGCGTCGGCCGCGAGAACGGCCGCGACGCGCAGCGCGAGTACACCGCCGCGAAGACGACCGTCGTCCGCACGGCCGACGCGAAGGAGGACTGGTTCGCCGGCGCGGGCGCGCGCTACGGCTAAGGGGGCGCGGCGGCCTAGGTCCTCGCCTGCGAGGGACGCGCGGGCCAGGGGCGGCCGCGAGCGGCCGCGGACTCGTAAATCAGGCCGCCCGACGGCAACACCGATGCACGATGAACTCGCCTCGCCTGCCAGGGACGCGCGGGCGAACTTGCGGGCCATGGGCGGCGCAGTGAAGCGATCAAAACTCACTGTGGCAGATTCTGATTGCCTGGATTTTTTTTTCGCGCGCGGTCGACGCACAGCCTCTACGGAGGACTAATGAATCCGGGCCCAGAATGATCGATTAATATTAAATTATTAATCTAGGTGCACCTAGATGTACGTTGATCGCTTCACTGAAGGCTCACTGATGGGCGGCCGCAGCCTGGTGCCAGCAGCAACATCATCGCTGCCCTCGATTGAAGCTTCGGCCTTGCTTGCGCTCTTCGGACGGAGTCAGTACTGCAGTATGCGCGCGATGACGGTCCTGCTCTCGCTCGCCTCGGCGCGCGCCCTCCAGCGCGTCGGCGGGCGCGCGCGGTCGCTGTGCGGTCGCGGCGCCACGGTCGCGCCGGAGGCGGAGACGGCGCCGGCCCCGGCGCCGAGCGCCTACGTCGTGCCCAAGATGGAGGAGGTCGTGAGCCTCTGCAAGAAGCGGGGCTTCGTCTTCGGCTCGTCGGAGATCTACAACGGCTTCAACGGCTTCTACGACTACGGCCCGCTCGGGTCCGAGCTCAAGCGCAACATCAAGGAGCGCTGGTGGCGCGACATGGTCCGCGCGCGCGACGACGTCTGCGGCGTCGACTCGTCCATCACAGGGCAGGAAAAGAGTGATTCAAGTTCGCTTCAACATGAGTGTTCCGCGCGCGCGCCGAGATAGGAGCCTTTGAAGTTGGGAATTTCGCACCCTTTTCCTGCCCAGGTCCATCATCGCGTCGCCCAGGATCTGGGAGGCGAGCGGCCACGTCGGCGGCTTCTCGGACCCCATGGTCGACGACAAGACGACGAAGAAGCGGTATCGGGCGGACCAGCTCTTCTACGCGGAGCTCGCGTGCGACGACGGGTCGTCGCTCGGCTGCGTGACGGTCTTCGAGAGCGAGGACGCGGAGGGCGACGCCTACAGGGCGGGCAAGAAGCTCGCGAAGAAGGCGGGGAAGACGCTGTCGCGGCCCCTCGTCCTCAAGTGCCTCGAGGACGCGGCGGACGAGGACCGGCCGCGGATCCCGCCGCCGGACGCGCCGGACCGGCCCGGCGACCTCACGGCGCCGCGCGACTTCAACCTCATGTTCCAGACGTCCGTCGGCGCCGCCGAGGACAACTCCGCCGCCGCGTACCTCCGGCCGGAGACGGCGCAGGGCATCTTCGTCAACTTCAAGAACGTCGCGTCGACGGCGCGCGGCTTCAAGCTGCCCTACGGCATCGGCCAGATCGGCAAGGCCTTCCGCAACGAGATCACGCCGCGCAACTTCATCTTCCGCAGCCGCGAGTTCGAGCAGATGGAGATCGAGTACTTCCTGCCGCCGGGCGACGACGCGTGGCGCGCGGCGCACGCGCGGTGGATCGACGACTGCCGGGCCTGGCTCGTCGAGGCCTGCGGGCTGCGCGAGGAGCTGCTGGGCTTCGAGGTCCACGACAAGCTCGCGCACTACGCGCTCGCGTGCACCGACATCACGTTCCGCTTCCCCTTCGGCGAGCAGGAGCTCCAGGGCATCGCCGCGCGCGGCTCCTTCGACCTCAAGCAGCACACGGACGCGTCGGGCAAGTCGCTCGAGTACTTCGACGACGGGACCAAGGAGAAGTACCTGCCGCAGGTCATCAAGCCGTCCATCGGCGTCGACCGCCTCTTCCTCGCCGTCGTCTGCTCGGCCTTCGAGGAGGACGAGGTCAACGGCGAGAAGCGCAGCGTCCTCAAGTTCCACCCGGCCATGGCGCCGGTCAAGGTCGCGATCCTGCCCCTCGTGAAGAAGGACGCGGGCATCAACGACATCGCCGCGGCCCTCTACGGCGACCTCAAGAAGCGGTACAACTGCCAGCTCGACGCCGCGGGCAACATCGGCCGCCGCTACCGCCGCCAGGACGAGATCGCACGCCCCTCTGCGTCACCGTCGACTTCGACAGCCTCGACGACGGCGCCGTCACGGTCCGCGACCGCGACACGACGGACCAGGTCCGCCTCAAGATCGAGGACGTCGTGCCCTACGTCACCAAGCTCGTCGAGGGCTACTAGGATCCCCGTAAGGCGGCGCCCGCTAGAAGTCGCCCGCGAAGTCGGCCCCATCCACGCTCCGCTGCCGCCACTTGGCGACGTTGAGGAGCGTGGGCACGACGATGACGGCCGCGGCCGCCGCGGAGTGGACCGCCGGCGGCTGCGCCGCCCAGGAGGCCGCGGCGTCGCTCGACACGACGAGCGGCGGGCCGTACTTGGCCGCGTAGGCCAGCGCGAGGCTCAGCGCGGCGAGCTTCCCGAGGAACGCGCCGTCGCCGTCGCCGGCCCACGCGTCGCCGAGGTCCTCCCAGCCGAGGAGCGCCGCGCCGGCGCCGCCCGCCGGCGCCGCCGCCGGCCCCGCCGCCGCCGCGGCCCCCGCGGCCTCCGGGCCGCCGCCGCCGCCGCCGCCGCCGCCCGCGAGCGCGGCCCACGCGGCCGCCGCGTCCGCCCCGCCGTCGGCCCAGGTCCAGCCCCGCGACGCCGCGAGGCGGTAGCACGCGAAGGCGAGCGTCGTGTTCCCGAGGCACGTGCAGCCCGCCTGCAGCGCGACGCACCAGGCCAGGTCCGGCGCGTTGTAGAAGAGGTGGTAGCAGCACGCGACGATGCCCGACGTGTGCAGCGGGAGCATGCCCCAGGTCACGCCGCGCCACGCGGGCGTCGCCGACGCCTCGGCGTAGCGCCACGCGAGGCCCATGGCGACGAGCCACTCGACGAGGGAGCTCGTGTGGATCGCCCAGGTCGGCGCGGACAGCGCGTTCGGTGGCTCCGCCACATCGAGGGGCAGGTTGCCGACGCCGCCGAGCCACGCGGCGTGCTGGCTCGCGGCGACGTCGCCGCCGCACGCGACCGCGAGCGCCGTCGCCGCGGCGACGCCGGCCCAGGCGCCGCCCGCGGCCCGGAGCCGCGCCGCGGAGCCAGTCCCGGCGAGCGCGTCGCGGAACCCCAAAACGACGACGCAGTTCGTCGCCGCCAGCAGGCTCTCCGCGGCGCCGTGGAGCCAGTCCGCGTCCGCGAGCGACGCGCCGTAGAGCGCGCCCGCGCCGATGGCCGCCGGGATGGACCCGAAGACGAACGCGAGGAGGTACGTGAGGCCAAAGGTCACGCCCTCGGGCGCCCCGGACTTTGGGTGCTTCAACCAGTAGAGCATGGCGAGCCAGGGCAGGAGCGAGAAGCCGAAGAGCGACCCGGCGAGCTCGTCGGCCGTGGCGGCGAAGGCGTCGCTCGCCGCGGCGACGGCGAGCGTCGACGGCAGGTCGACGGCGGGCGCCGCGGCGGCGAGCGCGTCGGCCGTGGCGGCGAAGGCGTCGCTCGCCGCGGCGACGGCGAGCGTCGACGGCAGGTCGACGGCGGGCGCCGCGGCGGCGAGCGCGTCGGCGGGCGCCAGCCGCGCGGGCCGGAGCCGCGGCGGCGGCGACGCGCGCGGCGCGAAGGCGGTTCCCGGCGCGACGACGGCGAGCACGCAGAGGGCGCGACGCATGGTCGTCGGTGCACGAGCACGGGCGCGGGCGCCGATGGCAGCTCCGCTTCAACGCACTTCACTCACTAGATACTCACTTCAACATATGCCTAGATCTCGCTTCAGCTTGGCCTTCAACTTGCAGATATCGATCCGGGAGCGAGAAAGGCCGAGGCGTAACGAGGTGGGGCCGGCCTCCGCGCGCGGGCTGCCCGCCGCCGACTCCCTCTTGGCCGGCCGGCGCTCGGGGACTGGGCCGCCGCCGTAGGACCATGGCGGAGGCCTTCGCCGTGCTCTGGTCGCGGCGGTCGTCGACGATGGAGGCCTGGCGCTCCCTCCAGGACGCCGCGGAGCTCACGCGCGACGAGGAGCGCGAGTCCTGCGTGCGCATCCAGAAGCTCTGGCGCGGCCAGCGCGTCCGCGCCTGGGTGACGGTCATGCGCCTGGCCTGCATCTCGATCGAGCGCGTCTTCCGGGGCCACCTCGGCCGGCTCCGCCACGGCGCGCTGGCCACGGCGCGCGCGGACCGCGAGGAGCTCGCGGTCTTCCACTACCACGCCATCCTGTGCCAGCGGACCTTCCGGGGCTACTACAGCCGGCGCTACCGCCACGACTTCAACGCGCGCAAGGCCTACATCTCGAGCGTCGTCCGGCGCGGCGAGGAGCTCCGGGAGACGCTCGAGGCCGCGCGGCGCGAGCAGGTGCTGGCGGAGGCGGAGGCCGCGGAGCGGGAGCGCGAGGCCGCCTTCAAGCGCGTCGTGGAGCACCTGCACCACCTCGTGAGCACCAAGTCCGTGCCCGGCGTCTACAACAGCCCCTACGACGTCGACCACCCGCCGAGCGCGCTGGGCATCCCCGTGGAGACGCACCTCACGAACGGCGTCAAGGACCTGCTGCTCCTGCGGGACTACGCGCGGCCGCGCCTCGCGCGCGACCTCAACGGCACGCGCCGCGTCGACGTCGGCCGCGAGCCGAACCCGCGGTCGCTCCAGGCGTCGTCGCCGTACGACGCGCCGCTCCTCGCCGCGCGCATGGAGGCCAAGCTGGAGCGCGTGGGCTTCATCGGCGCCGCGGACCTGCGCACGGGCCAGCGCGTCCACGACGAGCCCTACCAGCGCGGCATCAACGAGGGCTCCGAGTTCTACGACCCCTGGAAAAACCCGTACCTCCAGCGCGGCATCCCCCGGTGCAAGGAGGACCTGCAGCACTCCGTGTCGACGCTGGGCAAGGCGCCCAAGGTGCCCTTCTACACGCGCACGGGCGGCAACATGTCGTCGATCCACGCGAACGGCGTCTTCGACGTCATCCTCACCGCCGCGAAGACGGGCGGCGTCACGGGCCGCGCCAAGGCCATCAAGGCGGGCTTCATCGACCACCGCGGCATGCTCATCGACGCGGCCCTGCGCAAGGAGATCGACGGCGACGACAACAGCGGCGACTTCGACGACTCGCTCTTCGACGGCGCGTCCTCGGGGCCCGCCGCGCGGCCGGGCAAGCAGACGGCGACGGTCGTCACGGCCGACACGCCCCAGCCCGCCTAGGGGACCGCGGGGCCCGCCCCACGCCCCCGCCCCGCGCTAGAGCCGCCTCGTCCGGAGCAGGAGGGGGGGAGGGTCGCCGGGGGCGTCGGGTCCGGCCGCGCGGCCGCCGGCGCCGGCCGAGGTCCTCGGGCACTTTAAAACCTCACTCGAGCGTATCCCCCCGCGACGGGCGCGAGCCCCAGTCCGGGTCCCTGTCGCCGCTCGCCTTGCGCCGCGGCGCCGCGTCCGGCGCGCACGGCGCGGCGATGTTGCCCGCCCAGGCGGTGCCCGGCCGGTCCAGGAGGCCCTCGAAGACGACGTTGGGCCCCGGCGGCCGGAGCGTCGTGCCCGGGGGCACCTGCGTGCCCGGCAGGATCTGCGCGACGCCGTCGGCGCCGCGGAACCCGTCGCCGATCGACGTCCGCTTGACCTCGAAGCGCATGCGGCCTGCGCGGGAATCGCGTCTTCGACGCGCGCGTCGTCGGACGGTTGGGATCAGACGCTTCGGCCGTCCTTCGCGCACTCGACGAGAGAGGACGACTCGTCCAGACATCGGCCGAATCGACGTCGACGCGACCGAGCTCGCGAGTCTCGAAGTCCGGCGGGGGCCCCCCGGCGGTCGATTTCGGCGCGGCGCGCGGCTGAAGTCGTGGCCGTAGACGATGCCGCTGTAGTGGACGTCGCCGCCGTAGGCGAGGGCGTCGTACTCCGGCGACGCCGTCACGGCGATGGGGTCCGGCAGGAGCCGGAGGCCCGGGCCGACGGCCGCGCCCGCGGCGCGGAGCGTCGCCGCGACGGCCTCGTAGACGAAGCGGCACGCGCCCAGGCCGGCGAAGTTCGCGAAGCCCGACTTGAGCGTCAGCGCCCAGGCGACGTGGCGGTGGCCCCGGAGCGGGCTCGCCTCGCCCGGCGCCGTCGCGCCGAGGTAGAGCCGCTTGTGGCCGACCTGCGCGGACATCACGTCTCCAACCCGACTTCCATGCGCGCGTCATCGCATGTTTTGACGCGAGCACTTTCCGCTGTGCTTCGAGAACTCGACGAGAGCGATCGATCCGTCCAAACATCAGCCGAATCGACTTCGATGTGACCGAGCTAGAGCATTTCAAAGTTTGGTCGGGACGTCCCGAACCGGCGGTCGATTGCCACGCCGCGGCCGACGTGCGCCGCGACCGCCGCGGCGTCTAGGAGCGCGCCGACGGCCAGCGCGGCGCCGACGGCGTAGGCGACGCCGTAGAGCCCGGCGTCGAGGGCGAGCGCGGCGGCGGCGACGCCCGCGCCGGGCTCCGCGGCGCGC